GACAGCTCGTCCACAGAGGTGACAATCATACAGGTGGTAAGGAAATCATATAGGGTTGTGGCAAGGTTCTGTTCTTGTCTTTGCAGGTAAATATTCATCTTCAAAGAGTAGAGAGACCTTAGACATCTAGATGCTAAATGATAAAAAGATAGCTATCCAGAAAAACAATCAACAAGCAAAGAGAACTCTACCTTATGATGCTGTATTATCTGCATGATAAAATTTGAATATTTGGACATATATACATCTCATAGTGATAGAGTAACCAATGCTGTTGTTTATTCTTGATTATATTATGTTTGAAATTATTCTCTTAATTTTGTTTGCAGAAATTTCACTCCTATGAGTAAGAAATGACATTGAGATGAAACCTGTAACCCTGATGAAACTGCTCATTAATCATTGGATATCTGTGTGTTCCATAAAATTTACACATGCTATGTTTCTGTGTTACCAGTGTGTGTGCAACTAGAGACTTAGCATGGGCAAAAAAAATACCCAGTTATGGATGATGATGGTAAGAGCGGACGTCCTTGGATTATCTCTTTCTGGCAAGCTTTTAGTCTTGCACCACTGAATGTGGTACTACTAGCCACAAGTTTTGGTATGTGCCTTTTTAACACTTGGATTTAAAAAGTTACTCTCAACTCTTACTTTGGTGAGTTTTTATGAAAGTTGGATTTTTTGTGGCTGGGCTATTATGGTGTTGGTTTAAAAACCCTGTCTATGCTTGTCTTTATTCTTATATAAATGGTCATATGTATTTGTCTTCCATCATTGTGTATTTTATGTTGTAATACTTTTCAAAGTTAAACCAACTTTGCGCTCTGAGAATCTACTCAACTTGGTTATTATATGTAATCTAGTTTTTATGTATTGCTTTTATACTATGTGACTAAGAACAATGCATCTATAAAAATGAGAAATAGTTTTTTTCTTATATGTTTGGTCTTAATAACAGGATAATGCTGATTTTTGTCAGATGAAATATTCACTCCACTATTTTTTTGGAAGACTTTAAAGTTCATCTTATTTCTTCCTTAATGGTTAGTAGAATTCATTATTGAAGCCATTTGGGAAATTCAGTTTACTGATATTCATCTATTCAGAGTTCTAATTTTTTTCTTTTCAGAAGACATACTTTTATTTCTAGTTATGTGTACACGTGTAAATCTGTGTGTGGGTGTGTACACATACGTGCTGGTGCCAGGGGAGGCCAGGAGAGCGTATCTAGGGCTGGAGTTACAGGAAGTTTTATGAGCTCCCAGGGCTCTAGTGCTAAGACATTTCTCCAGCTCTCTAATTTCTTTGAGTTTTCATTTGAAGTTTGTCAGGGAGAGGGGTCTCCTGACTTCCCAGTGGGGCAGACATCCTGGCTCCTTACTTGGCCTTAATTGGCTCAGAGGTGACTGAGTGGAGTTTCCCCGCGATGGCTGCTATGGACCAGAAGTTATTTTCTAAGAGTTTCTATTGTGCCAGGCTGGCCCAGTTTCCTGGGATCTTGCTTTTCTGATTGGTCGCTTGGGCTTTATCTATGCTCAGTGGCATTTATGATTTGCAGGCTTTACCTGTGAGATTGAAATGAGAACCCAGGGGTTTGCTAGCACACACTCCTCTGCTCCTGAGGCTAGCTAGTCTTTCCCTATTCCCTCCATTTTCAGTGTCCTCTTATGTTTGCTCGCAGGTGATGCCCACGATTTCAGCCACTCTTAGGAGGCGTAGGTAAAAAACATTTCAACCCCATCTTTTTGGATATAGAAATTAAGTACTATTTTTTTTATTGTCCAGGTGATTCAAGAAAAAGGAGGATGTGGCTTTGAGTCCCTGGGTGGGTGTGTGGGAGAGAGGTAGAAGCTGTCCCTGGAGGAAGCATAGGGTCCAGCAGTACCAATACTGTGGATAACTGAAGCTGGGAAGAGAGGGCTACAAAGCAGCTCCCGAGGAGGATTACCGTCATTGGTGGACTCAGAAGTAGAGGTGTGTGAAGCTCCTTTTGTAATATCTCCCCGGGTCCTCGAAGGACTGCATTCTTAACACATCTTTTGCATGTCTAATTATGTGCAGAGGTCCTGTGTTAGGGAAAGGAGGAGACAGGCTGAGCCATTGCATTTAGAACAGAGTACCTGAACCAGTGAGGAGGGGCCCTCCACCAGAGTGATGGAGGTCTAAGTTTGAAATGGGAGCTCGTGAAGTTACAATGGAAACCGTGTTATGGGTCTCAGTGGGTAAAGGTACAGCGGAGGTGAAGCGCTGAGTCATGCTGATACTCAATACTCAGTACTGAAGGTCCTGCTCTGCTCTACTGCCTGAGTAGAGAGAAGCCCTCTTCTGGGGAGGTTGGGCAGCTCTGATGTAGATTAAAGCTCACACTGCTCTGCCCAGTACTGAGTTCACACTACCCACTTCAGTGGTCTCTCAAGTGAGTTTGGGCATAAAGGAACTGTTCTGCTCCCCCAGAGCCCTCTTCACCCTGCTTCATGGGTCATGCCTAAAGGCACTAAAGCACCAAATCCAACAGAGCAAAGACACCCCAACAAGGAACCGGCCCTGTTACCTACACTCCATTGCTTCCTAGGATCAGAGCCAGAGCCAGGCACAGTGACTAAGCACTCAGCCTGCCTTGGCTAACCCAGGCCATGGTGCAAGACAGGAGGAACAGCGGGTCTGTGACAAACCTTGTCACTACCACCTTCGAATGTCTAAGACACATCTGCTTTGAACAATCTGCAAATGGGAGATGCTGGGATGCTCGGCGCTGCTTAACAGAAAAGGTGCTGGTGGCTTCCAGAGCACGGGGTCACCAGGGCCCTTACAGCATGGGCAGTAGGGGCTGGGCATGCAGAGTTCTTCCTCCTGGGTTCCCTTCACGATGCGCAGCACAGCCTCTTGAACCATCTTTGCTGGAAATCTCTTAGTAAGGTGTTCTCCGTCCAACTTCCCAGGGGGACAGACTCCCTGCACTTATCTTTCTGGGGCACCTGGGAGTGAGTCCCCATGCCTGGCCGCTGGGGTTGAATTTTCTGACATTTTCTAGAACTGCCCTTGCAGCTGGTGAAGGAGACCCCGTGAACTTTAGGCAGGAGCTCTCCTGCCTTGCTTGTCTAGAGCTGTGGGGATCGAAAGACGCAGAGAGGTGAGGGTGCAGGGAACGGGGGCTGCCTGCTGGGAATTGAAGAATGTTCGCTGCGAAGAGAGAAGACTAGGATCTCAGACTGGCAGTCAGAACTAAACCAGTGTGGGAAGTATTTGGACTACACAGTCTGTGAGGCATCCAGGGATAGGGGACGTGAACTCTGGGGAGAGGCCTGGATGGAGGCTAGGGAGTGACAGAGAAACCATGAAAGTGCAGATACCCAGGAAGGTGACGAGGAGCAGGGTTTCTTACCCGTCTTAGTCCCACACTCAGTTTGTATCACGAATGAAACATATTTAGGTGTTTGGGGATGATTTGTGCATCCCAACTCCAAATTCCTATTTTTTGTGTGTGAATTTCAGCAGCTCAGTACAGCTATATTTGGAGACAGGATCTTGACACAGTAACTAAATTAAAATAAGGCTCTTAAAGGTAGTCCCCAGCCTAAAGTGACTGGTGTCCTCAGGAGAGATTAGGACCCAGGCATATAGAGGGAAAATACCACATGGAGACAGAGATTGGCCAGTGACTCATAAACCACAGAGAGGAGCCTCAGAAACTAACCATGGCACCTTCCTCTCAGTCTTCCAGCCCCCAGAAGTCCGAGAAGAGGAATGTCCACTGTGTAAACCACTACTTCCATGATTTTCTGTGATGGCAGCCCAAGTCAGCAAACACGGCCACCATATGCGTGTACTTACATCTAAGACTAAGCCATAGCTAACCTTCCAGGTCTCTCTAGCCTCCCTCCTTGCCTTACATTCAGTGCTGAGAGTTCGCCCTTGGTTTCTACCCAGTAGAACCATGTCCTCTTCTCCCCATCTCTCCTTTCTGTTGCTAAGGACACTGTTCTTCAGATTCTGACAAGCTTCTCCTCCTCCAGTCATTCACTGGCCCCTGCCCTCTGCCTTGCTGGGCTGTCCTGTGTGTTTGTCATTACACAATGACACAATGATGTCTGGCACAGTGATGCCCTTTGCACATTGAGAAAATAATGACAACAATGGTAATAGCACGGAGGAGCCATACTCCTCAATTCTTTGTTTGTTCTTTTGAGGAGACTCTGCAGACAAGTAGGCATGCATGGCCACTCTCTGCTCAACTTTGCTTCTAAGAAGGAGCTTGGGGTCAGGAATGAGGCTTGTTTTCATAGGCTATGCAGCGGCACCTGGGAAAAGGGGCAAGCTAATAGTGAGAGAAACTACAAGGACATGCGGGCCTTCTGTGTGGAAGAGTCCCATTTCTGCCTCTGCTACCTTGGCAGGGTTTAGACCCAGAAAAGTTACAGAAGGACTGAAGAGAGGTGCATGCATAGGCATGTGTGCTCATGCTTGTGAGAGTATGTGAGACAGCTTTGGCTTCCTTCAGTACAGCTCTCACATTCAACACTAAGGAGGGCAGAACGTTCCTGTTTTCTGCCAATGGCTTCGTTTTCTAGAATAGTTTCTATGGCTGTTTGGCTCTAAAGCAATACTTGAGGAAGAAAGGGAGGCAGGAGGTAGTGAGGGAGGCAGGTGGAGAAGAGGAGATATTTTATCCTTCTCAGTGGTACAATCCAACTCCGTCATGCCTAAGGGTACAGAACTCTGGCATCGGCCTACAAAGTGTGATTTTTAGTGTCACCCTCCCATTTCTCATCCCCCAAACCTGGAGTGGTCACCCTACTGACTACTTGAGTATCCTTAGGGGAAGGAGACTCAGGTAGAGGGAGTTCCCGTGACTGGCAGAGAAAACAAGGTGTGTGCTGCCCAGTCAAGTGTCCTTGAACTTAAGATCAGTGCTCGCCTCTACACTATAAAGTTTCCCCGGTGAGGGCACTGAAGCAGGACATTGCTCCTAGCCCTTTAGCCTAGGAGTGGACAGGAAGATGGCTCTGGTCTTGTGTGTCTTTGCTTTGCTGAGTTCAGTCTGCCTGGTAGAAGCCAACATCTTTGGTGAGTTCTAAGGACAAGCCATGGGTTTGAGAGTGAGTTTCGAGGCATGGGACTCAGCCAGGTTCTGGGAGGGCCCCTGGACACATCTGGTCTCAGCTAACCTCACAAATGCAGGGGCTAGACATTTGTTCTTTTCTGTTTAGATGAAAAGAGGTTCAGAAAGGTGAGTTGTATGGTATTCGAACCCAGAGTTAGGAATTGGTGGAGTAGCAATTTTAAAAAAATAATGTAATCATAGCTTCCCTCATCTCATACTTATCTTATTTTTTGGCATTTGCACATGCTTTAATATTTATTTGAACACTACAAAGAATATTCCAGCCATACCAACATTTGAGAAGATTATGGCAAGCAACAAACATGGTAGACCACCCTATGGCTTAAGACAAACCTGAATTCTGTACTGGGCTCAGACACTTATCTGTTAAACTGTGTACAGATTGCCTAGTTTCCATTTCTATGGTAAAAATCAGACAGAGGAAGGCCAAAAAGATAACTCAGCAACTCATCTGCTTGGTGTGTGTTTATGAGCTCCTTAGTGTGGATCCCTAGACTCCACACAGAAGCCAGGTCCTGGAATGCATATCTGAAACCCCAGGCCCAGAAAAGGCAGAGACAGGTAGATCCCTGGAGCTCCCTAGCCAGTCAATTTAGCCAACCAGTGGGCTGTAGGTGCAGTGAGAGACCCTGTTGTAAAACATAGAGAAGTTAGTGAGGAAGACACACAATGGGACCCCTGACCTCCATGTGAACGCACACATGCAAATGTGCACATCATGCAGATCCAGACAGACAGACAGACAGATAGACAGACAAACACACACACACACACACACACACACACACACACACACACACGGGGTGGGGAGGCTATACAAAGAACGTGCATTGAACTCCTGAGATGGCTGTGATTTCTGAGTGAGATCAGAGCATCGTATGGGTCCTTAGTGAAGAATAAGAAATGTGCGCAGTGTAAGCCTGAAAGGTGCTACCCGCAAGCATGACTTGGTGAGGGTAAAACCAACTTCTTTGTGGTGTTGTATCCTAAGCCACAGGGGCTTAGGCACCTAAGAACCTCAAGGTTGATTCAGAAATCCTTTTGGAAAGGTTCACTCTCACTGACGCCTGCGGCTTGATGCCTCTGGCAGAATGGAGATAGTCTCATCACCTCCCAGGAGAGTACCCCTGATTTAATGAACTAATCTTGTAACAGGGATGGTATTAATGGCTGCCAGCACTCAGTAAGACTAGGAAAGTAAAGGCCAGGGGTCTGTATCTGAAAGTCTGTCTGTGTGACGCCTGGGACCAGGCCTGTCCCCCTCTCATGTGTCATTTTCCTTCACATAGAGTACCAGGTGGATTCTCAGCCACTCCGGCCCTGTGAGCAGCAGAGGGAAAAGGCCTTCCTGAAGCAGGCCGAATATGTTCCACAGTGCTCCGAAGATGGAAGCTTCCAGTAAGACTGGCTTTAGTAGGAACTCCAGAAACCTCAACTGTTCTAAAGAACCCTCCCGGCTTGTCCCTGAAATTCCCAATTGTGTCCACCCAGTTCTTCAGAGATCCCAGGCTATTCCGTCCTTTGAAGGAGGGGCTCTTTCTCTGTGCTCATTTACAGATAGTCTGCTGGAGAGATCCCTAACAGCCCTTCAGTTCCTTCTGAATTTATCTTTACAGTTTTACAACATAATGTGTAAGGCCTCTTAGCAAAGCTCAAACATCAATTCCTTCTGAATTTATCTTTACAGTTTTACAACATAATGTGTAAGGCCTCTTAGCAAAGCTCAAACAGAGGTAAGGATGTTCATAGGCTCCTAACCCCTAGTTCCCTGGTGGGCAAAGCAGGAACTGCCTGTCTGTTAGTTAACTTGGCCTTTCCTGTTTTCATAGCTCCTCCCAGGGAGCTCTGCTTTGGAAGGGGCTTTTGCTGGTGCCCCCACACATCTTGGGTCCTGGGATTGTCTTCCTCCATATAGAGTCAGGTTATGGTTTAAATTCCTTTTCCCTGTGGAACAAGAGTCCTTATTCCCCCCTGCTGTGCAGTCACAAGAACTAGCTGTGAAATTCCACCTCTGCTTACTTACTCAAGCTTCCTCCCATTCCTCCCCCTCCCCACCCAGCCATAGGTAAAAACTGCTGGCTATCACTCCAGAACCTCTGGGAATTTCAGGGTTATGCGGGAGGAGTTAAGGGGTGTGCCTCTCTTTTTGGCAGCCTTGTGTATGTTTCTCTCCAAGTGTTTTTTCTTGTTGTCACTGAAGTTTAAGGCCCCCTTTGTTCCCAGGAAGATCTATGTATATGTTTCTCTCCACCCAGCCACGTGCTACCCCAGGCCAGCCTGAAACTCTCAGTGTGGCCTCTCTTGTCCTAGGGACTCACTCCATGGCCTTGTCTGATCACAACTTTGGCTCTTCCATGTGACTTGCTAGCCCCTGGTCTCCCTGAGCTGGAGCCAAACTGTGGCTTCAGAAGCCCATGTGGGCGTCACATCATATGTCTCTCTTCAGGACAGTCCAGTGCCAAAATGATGGTCAATCCTGTTGGTGTGTGGATGTTGATGGCAGGGAGGTACCTGGCAGCAGACAGCTGGGGAGGCCAACAGCTTGTAAGTAACAAAGGGGTGCCCAGTGGGCAGGGACCCTTACACTGGGACAGCTCACATCTAAGGACAAGAACTGGGCTTAGGTGAATGAACTGGGCAAGTTTCCCTAAGGGCTGCTGGCTCCTCACCATTGACTATGCAGAAGGTCCAGTTTCTCAAAGACCACTGTGAAAATCATATGAGATACTCAAGCTTAGCCAGTAACCAGCAAGGACTTCCCATGGACCAGCCACTGTGCCCAGCACTGAGTCAATTATGGCCAGTAGACATTGAAGGGTTCTGAAGCCAGGTCAGAGCTTGGCAATGTTTGCTCCAATGGTGAAAGCAGGACTTAAAGGGAAAGCCTTTTTCAGTGGCTAGATGATAGCTCTATCTGGGTCTTTGGTTTGATGAGGCCAGCGTGGCTGGTTTGTGAACCATGTTGGCCCTTCATACTCGGTGGCATCATCACTTTAGCTAAAGTCACTCAGCCTCTCTGATCGACACACATCCAACCCCAATCCACAAAGTGAAGGAGGAACCTCCTTTCCCCATGTGAGGATTTGTAACGTGATCAGCCTGGAGTATGGTAGCTATTCCATAGGAGCAAACACGAAAGGACTTTTCCTCCCAGATTCAAGGCGGGGCGGCTGTCTGCTTGCTTGTCGAGAGGGAGAGATATGCAGGCTAAAGAAGCAGCTTCCCAGGCAACGCAGGCAGCCCGCACAGAGATTTGAATTCACATGCTCTGTCCACCCTCCCAGAAACTCCTCTCCAGTGCTAAGGTGCTAGTGAGAGCCATCCCATTCTATCTCAGTTCCCCAAATGACAGAGCCTTCCGAATGTCTGGCTGAGTCCCTCAAGGAGGCAGGGTCCGCCTGGACTCGATCCTGTGTGCTCCCCAAAGCTCTCCTCTGATGTTTCTCTTTGTGTCCCCAGGTCTGTCCTTCTGCCAGCTACACCGGCAGCAGGTCCTGCTGAGCAGCCTCATTAACAGCACGAATGCGCTCTACCTCCCTCAATGCCAGGATGCGGGGGACTACGCGCCAGTGCAGTGTGACCTGTGGCAGGTGCAGTGCTGGTGTGTAGACACAGAGGGCATGGAGGTGTACGGCACCCGGCAGCTGGGGAGACCAACGCGGTGTAAGTGTCATTGTCATCCTGGGCACCAGGACCCCACAGTGGGGTAGTTTGTCTCCCCACAAATCACATGCCTGACAATACAGAGAGTGCTTGGCCCGAGAGAGAAGGGGGGGGGGGAATGTCACACAGGAAGTTGTATGACTGTAGACAGCTACAAGTCCAAGCAGGATTTCAGCAAACACTTGTGAGCCTTTGGTGGACTAGTTCAGGCACTGGTGGGTTTCCAGGGGTCACATGGGTAGCATAAGTACCCACCTTGACTGCAGACACAAACGCACCTACCCATCCGTAAGAACTAAACAACTTCGCACGAAAATGTTTAGGTCCAAGGAGCTGTGAGATACGGAACCGTCGTCTCCTCCACGGGGTCGGAGACAAGTCGCCACCCCAGTGCACTGCAGACGGGGAGTTCATGCCTGTCCAGTGCAAGTTTGTCAACACCACAGATATGATGATCTTCGATCTGATCCACAGCTACAACAGGTGAGAGGGGTCTGTCCCCTTGTGGAGCGAAGCCCTTAGGGAACCCTTGGCTCTTCAAGTTCATGTGTGTAGCAGAATGTGGGAGTGCCGTGTGTTACATGCAGCCTGGTGGAGAATTAAGAGATGTCTCGCCCTCATTTGTCTTGGACAGGCAAGTTCATCCTGTCCCTAGCCCCGTTGACAAAGCCAGCTGGGAGTAGTTACTGTAATTACAGTTGCATTATCTTAGCCACTGCTCCGTTGCTGTGAAGAGACGCCATGACCGTGGCAACTCATACGAAACAAAGCATTTAACTGAGGACTTGCTTACAGTTTCAGAGGTTTGGTCCACTGTCATCACAGTGAGAAGAATGGAGGCATGCAGGCAGATGCTGGAGCAGTAGCTGAGAGCTGCATCCTGACTTGTAGGCAGAAAGAGAGAGAGAGAGAGAGAGAGAGAGAGAGAGAGAGAGAGAGAGAGAGAGACTCTGGGCTTGGTACAGACCTTTGAACCCTCAAAGCCCACCACCAGTGACACACTTACTCAAACATTGCCACACCTCCTAATCCTTTTAACAATGCCCTCACTGATGATCAAATCTATTAGCCTATGGGGGCCATTCTTATTCAAACAACCACATACTGGTGCTCTCTGCCCCTCTAGCCCATCATGCAAATGAAAACACCAGCTTTGTGAAAACCTACAGATCAGGGTGTTTGTCCCATTGTTCTCCATCCTAACAGAGAACTGGGGGTGGCGGGGGGGGGGGGTGACTGCTCATCAAGCAGGGAGAGTGGCTGACTAAATGTAATATACTATAAACATTTGTACAGCTGCTTAGAAGAAGGCATCAGAGCTGGAGATGTTGACTCAAGCAGGGTTCTGAAGCATGTTATGCTAGTACAATTCAAGATGGGTAGTGTAAGTGCAGGATTGATATGATCCTGTGACCAAAAGAATATGCCAGGTCTGGATAGAACCAGGAGCAGAGGGTAATCTTAAGGACCACATCATTGTTGAAGGCTTTTTGAAGATGAGGGCTGTAGTAGAAGTGTGGTCAGAAAGGGGATTCCCTCATCAAAGGGAAAAGAGCCCATTAAAAAGCATGGATACAATACATGCATACATTTCTGTAAGTTCTAGACATGTGTAAACTTATAAAGGACTTTTGTTTTTAAAAATAATAAATATAAAGTGAGAAGTAGCATATACACTCTGACCCAAATATCCAGGCAGCATCTGACTACTCTAGATCACCCAATGATTGTGAAGGACTATGTAGAATTCAGATGCAATCAGGCCATTCTGAATGCAGAGAAAGAAAGTAGCAGCTCGTGGGAATGCTTCTGTGGATTCTGTGAGAGAACCTGAGCCTCCACGTGGCTGCCTTCCAGAAGGACCGGTTTCTGTGTGAGAGAGAACGTTCCCACATGTTGTGCCAGACGGGTCACAGATCATGCCCCAAGTGCAGGTCCCATGGACAAACTCGATCTGAGTTGCATGACTCTCTAAAAACTTGGAATTTTCGTTAGATCACACCCTCCAAGGTTCCCACAAAATTCAGAATCAGCAATTTCATACATTCAGCCTGAAACACCACACTCATAGTATGGTTTTAGGAGGTTGTGCGCATTTGTTTATGTGGTCAAGAAGCTAGCCTTGAATTGTAAGTTTTGTAGCTGACCTTCCGTGTCCTGGGTCCTTCAGAGCTTGGCCACCTCACTCCTGGCAGCTCTGTCTGCCTCCTGCACTATCCACCCTGACCCCATAGCCTTTGTCTCTGCCACCTACAGTCTTCATCGGCATTGCTTTGCAAGGTGACCTAGTCATTTACCTTCCCAGAGCTGGGAAATGGAAGCCTGTGCTCTACTCTCCTGAGACTTCATTTATGAACTCACTGAGAACGCATATTAGCCCAACTTGCTCATCTTCAGGGGATTCTTGTTTACCACCCAATTTCAGAAAATGGAGGTCAGGTTCTTCCCCCAGCCGCTAATGATTCGCTTAACTGGGAGTGGAGAAGCATTAGGCAGCCCCGCTCTCCAAAGGCTCATCTACTCTGTACAGGCATCATTGGTCCATGCTCAGCTGAATGCTAACTGCATCCAAAGGAGTTTTCTAGATTTCAGCTTTAACGCAGACATAACTAGAGAGTGTAGTCTCTGGCATATAGCCAAGAAACCTGGACGACATCACTAAAAACCATAGTAAGCCTTAGAGATGTACAGAAAAGAGTTCACTTGTCTGTATTTACGTGACTTGTTTCTCTTCCCCCAAAGCAGATAGCACAGTGTCTTGCCCACAGTAGGTCTCCAATCCCAATTTAGACAGTAGGTGGATGGATCAACGACTTTAGCAGGGACAGTTTGAGATTGAGTCTCAGTTCACAGCTACTGCCACAAGAGGGCAGTCTAGTTAAACAGAAAAGTTGACAATCAAGTAGTCATTGTTAAAGCAAACAAAACCATTCAATTCTGAAATGGGATTCTTTTCACTTTTTTTTGTGTGAGTAAGCATATCTTTGAGCAGATTCTGGCCTGGCAAGGTTATGGGAATGGTTGATTAATGAAAGCCCAGGGGTAATCAAGAATCTTCTGTTACTTCGTAAATCTGGCTGCCTCAGACTCCTTTGGGCCAATGGAAGGAACTGCGGAATCCACATGGAATAGGCTCACCTGGGGTTGACAGATATAATACTGGACAGCCAGCTGTAGTTGGGTTTCAGATAAGCAATGGGCTATTTTGTTTTACTGTGTGTCCTTGATATTGCCTTAAGCAGGGTCAGGGAGTGGAGTGAGGATTCGATTTGAAAGGGCGTTGTGTAAACACCACCAGATTCCAGACTTTAAAAAGCCTGGGGTAGGGAAGAGCAGAATGGGTACTGGGGGTCCATCCCAAGTTCCAGGTTCAGTTCAGAGAGAGGATGGTTGCTCCATGGGGGGAAGGCATGCTAGGGAGCTGGAGCTGTACGAGACGTATTTACCCCACAGAACTTTGGAATGTGGGGAAGAAACATCTGGAGGAAAGGGAGAGGAATGAGGGACGACTCCATTCTGAGCAGATGGCTGAAAATGTGTTTGGTAGGGAAAAGCCACAGTCTGGCCTTGTAAAAGTCAATCTGAGGAGATGTCCTTGCAGAAGTGTCATAAACAGTTGACTTGATGCCAGGGGATTTAGAATCCTGAGACCTGGGGGCAGCTTGTCTTCTAAAGCCCCCTGAGGTCTTAATGATCTGTGCTAGGACTCGGGCTTGAACTTGGCTATCGTAGGTCCGCTTTCCCCCTGGGGAAGAGCTTTCTCTTATTGTCGTAATTGGGCTAGAAGCTTAGGAGCCACTTGGAGACTGGAAGTAACTCTGCTGGTTCTTCTTGCTGCTCCATCATCTTTAAGGCCACAGCCCAGTCACAGCCGCAGGACTCGGTCTTACTCCGAACTGCAGGGGAAGCCCTGCAGAAGTTGAAGCATGGCTAGTGCCCTTGTAAAGGTTTTAGTGATTTGTGTTAAAATTCTTTTATCAACCCTTATTATTAATTACAGTGCTTATCCTGGTTGCTCAGCAGGAAGCCGTACCTCAAGTGCCCTACCTAGCACATTGTCCTGTGGAAAGAGTCATGAGCACCTTAGCACATCCTAAAACATTATTGTAGTTGGAATATGGAAGAGTAGGAGGAACTCCTCACAGACAGATCATCTGGTCACCTTCAAGGCCACCTGTGGTAGTCACTTTGACTTGGGTACCTTGCTAAACTGTGCATGACTTCTCTCCTAAGGACTACCCGCTCCAGTGCAGGAGAGAGCGCATTGTTAATTTATTAGCCTATTAGTTGCAGGTTAGGTTTCTGGAGGCCTGCCCAAGGAAAGGTTAGGGAACCTGAGGGTGCGGAGAGAGTGTTGCAAGGGAGCCAGAGGCATGGTGACGCTCTACAAAGAGCTGGACTGGAGAACTATCATCCAGATTCCATGGGGCTTCCTTTGTTATCCCTCTAAGTCTGCAATGGCCCAGTCTGAGCATAAAGTCAGAGACACTATCATTTGTCTTTTGCTGAGCAGGGCTCAACAAATAGAAGTAACTAATTTACTATCATTGCCACTTTTACAACCAAATTGTTCCAGTTTCCAATGAATGGACTTTTGAAAATTCCATCTCCTTTCTCTGTAGAAACAAGACAAAGAGAGTTTTTCATTTCTAGTTTTGCACCCCACTTGTGAGAGCATCCTTTCTCACATAACCCACAAACCCACAATAATAGACAAGGGGCATGGTCACCGATCTGTAATTCAATAGCACTTTTGTGTGTTTATAAAGCAAACTTAGCCTATGGACTCCAGAGTTACCTCAGTTAGGAAACCAGCTGGAAAAATGCTCATAACGTCCACTCGAGTTACTAATACTTGTGTCTCATGCTCCCCCTATATTGCCTTCCAGAGCTGGCTTTCCCTGTTAATGATCTTATTATGTATATTTGTTGTCTTATACCTGTCCCTTTTGAGTGATGTTCCCTTTTTGGTAGTGTAGAAGTATCACCCTCATCTGCAGTATTTCATCCAGTTTGGCGGGTTCTATAATTCACTTCATTTCTCCATCATTGGACATGCAGGTAACTTTTAGTATTTTGCTAGAGTGAGTTATGTAGTAATAGACCTATTTTTTTTTTTTACAGAGAATGACTTACTATGCTATATTTTCAGACATAGGTAGAAACGCTCACTTGAATGTAGCATACTAGTTACATAGTACACAGGAAAAAAATTCCTATTATTGTATAAATAGAAATTCTCTCCTGACTGCGTCATTGCCCAGGGGAGGACCTTCTCAATTCAATTCTTAGTACTTTAGCCTCCTCACATGCAAAGACGGGGACCCAACACACAGGCTCTGTGTAGCATTTCCCAGCTAGGGCGTGGTTAAGACAAGCATTTCTTCAGGCGACAGAAAGAAATGGTGAAATCATTTGGCTTTTGCGGAGTTTAATGAGAGTACAGAAACATCACCTTCTGACAGATCTCCTGTAATAGAATCCAGATTCTTCTTTGCAAGCTCTTGAGAACTGTAAAAAGCCCGGGAAGCATTTGCTTTCACAAAACAAGACCATCTGCAGCCTGTCATATATCTGTGATAGGAACGCAGCCTTTGGACTTCGCAGTTCCTCTACTGGAGAAGTGACATAGTGCTCACTCGTGACTTGTCTTCTTTCTGGTCCTCCAAGACATGTGTGTGGACACAAATTGGCCAAACGCCACCCTTAATGGAAAGAGATAATTGGTAGATGATAGCTCAGCATAGTCTAACGTTGCTCTGGCTAACTTAAGCCACTTTAGGAAAGAGCCACAAACACAATCTCCTCGCAGAGGACTGTGCCACATTGATTCGGATTGAGGATGACTTGTCTTTTATGAAACGGTGACCATACCTCTTCCTGTTGGTCAGGTTTCCAGATGCGTTTGTGACCTTCAGTTCCTTCCGGAGCAGGTTCCCTGAAGTGTCTGGGTACTGTTACTGTTCCGACAGCCAGGGGCGGGAGCTGGCCGAGACAGGTAACCAGCCACATTTCTGGCAATGGGAAGGGATCGATTGTAATTCTTGAACTCTAGTGCACAAGGTAGAAGTAGCACTGGCTTTCCGCATCCTTGGTAGGTTGCTATGGGTGCGGAAGAGGACACAGCCTTAGCCAGCTTTCATCTGTGGTACTCTGCAGAAACTTCTGCTTGTTCATATGGGTGCCATTGTGGGCTGAGAGAGGTGCCCACCTTGCTGTGTGGCAAGTGGAAGACAGGGCAGGTTATCAGCCTCATTCCCTAGTTACACTCCTCTGTGCTGTCAAACACCTGCACAGCCGCACACAGCAGTCCTGACTTTGTGAACTCTTAGAGTATTATTCCAGGTATGTCCAACCTACGGCCCAGGGGCTGCATCAGGCTTCATATGGGCTAGGATAACTACAGATGTGGCCCTGTGAAAATCACAAACATACTCAAAATGCTGCCACTATTTTCAGTGTTATTTTGTCACTCTGTTGCCTGGTTTTCGAGGACGCACTTTGTAGGTAATGAGAACTTACAGAGTCTAAAAAGTGGACGTGCCCGGACCCACTGCACAACGCTGCTGGTGTAGACTCTGACTGTTTGACATTGGTCAGCTCAGTCAGATTCAATCTTGCTTTCCCGAGGAGCCTGTCCCTGAAATGCTGTCTGAATTTGCTCAGGTTTGGAGCTGTTACTGGATGAAATTTACGACACCATTTTTGCTGGCCTAGACCGAGCTTCCACTTTCACTCAAAGCACCATGTACCGGATATTGCAGAGACGCTTTCTGGCCATTCAATTAGTCATCTCTGGCAGATTTCGATGTAAGTAACTAGCTAGTAACAGCCGTGTACCTCTGCTGTGGAGCCACGGGGCCTTGGGTCCCTTCCATCTAAACCAAAGTTTAGAGATAGAACTTGGGAGCAGCAAACATCCAAGCAGGCTCAGACCTTACCCATACATGTGGTTGTGTGGTCTCTTCTAGGCCCCAGCAAGTGTGAAGTAGAGTGGTTTGCTGCCACCAGCTTTGGTCACCCATACATCCCGAGATGCCACAGAAATGGAGGCTACCAAGCAGTACAGTGCCAGACAGGAGGGCTGTGTTGGTGTGTGGATGCCCAGGGGAGAGAGATCCCTGGCACTCAGCAGCAAGGGCGGCCACCATCTTGTGGTAAGTTTCCTCTCAGAGTGAACGTTCTGCTCTGCTCAGAGCCTGCTACCATCACTGTTTTTTCACACCGGTCTCTCAGGAGCTCACTAACCAACTGCTAACTCAATGTCCCCCAGAGGTCTGTCAAACTGTAGGTAACCAAAGGCAGTCTGCTGCTATTAACTTACAGTGGGTTTTTGTCTTGTGTCAGACATGTCATAGAACCTAACACACCAGGGGACTCATAGGTAACCAAAAAAGAAAAGAGAACTGTGTGTTCATGTGCCATGGGAGGAGTGTGTACAGGCAGCTGACAGAGCACCAAGGGGCAGTTTAATTCTGATTCAAAGCACTGAGGAAGGCTTCATGGATGAGGGACAATTGTTCAGAGTGTGTGTAGCAAAGGCACTTTCTGTATGTTCTCAAGGAGGGCGGAGAGACACTGTTGGCGTATGGAGCACACTTTGTGACTCCGGGAAAGGCAGGAGGGAACGAGACTCTGCAGCCCTTCACCTAACCAAGGCTTGGGCTTCACGCTGGAGGGAAGGGAGGCTGGTACGAGGCTCATCTTGGAAAGGCCTGGTGGGCTCTGTGTGTGGAATATATGCCCCCCAAGCAGTGTTAGGGGAGTCATCTGGTATAGAGCGCTGCCTGCTCTGCCAAAGGTCCTGAGTTCAACTCCCAGCACCCACATGGTGGCTCGCAACTATCTGTAACGAGATCTGGTGGCCTCTTGAGGAAGAGATCTGGTTAGTCGTCCTCATCAACTTAGACCATGAAACCCAGTCTGGATAAGTTCAACAGAACCGTCATGTACGGATTGCCCATGCAGCTTCAGCATTGCCAGATCATAAATTTCATTTCGCTTTCACTTTCAGTGTTAGGCGAGCAGGTGGAAGAAGCCCTGGACCTGAGATAAGGCAGTCAATTAGAAAGTCACCTCAATGTCCTTAGGAAAGATAGTGGTGAGGTCAGGACTTCTTAAGGCTCTTGTCACAAAGTAACACAAACTGTAAGTCCCTACAACAATCACAGCTCCCCGCAGCTTGCAGGCCTGGAGGCTGGAAGTTTGAATGTGGGTGGGACCAGAGTCTATTCTTCTGCAGGCTCCATTAGGAGCCGCTCTTGACTCCCAGCTCTGGCAGAGGCCACACTCATCTCAGGCAATGACACTGGCAGTGACATCTCTGCCAAAGTAGCACATTCTGTGGTTCTGAGAAGAAAGATGCATCTTGAAGGGATGTTATTCTACCTGGTGTGCTAAGGCAGAAGGCGGGCAGGTGCAAACCTTAGCACTGTCGTGGGGCAACTCAGTAAGGCACCAAGGATGGCGACAGTGTGACCATGGGGGAGGGGAGAAATCCAGGATCACAAGGCCTTCTAAGGGGGGGAGGTTAAGCCATGAAACAGTGAAGAAAGAACTCATTGCTTCTACTTAGATATTAATGTTGATTCAACGAGTCCCATTAAGTCCTTCAGCTTCTTCTTCTGACACTTTAGACATTCTTTGTATTGTTTGGTGAGTGGGCAGATGTCATAAAAGAAATGTTTAGGCCAGGTGGTGGTGATATACACTTTTTATCTCAGCGCTGGGGAAGCAGAGGCAGGCAGATCTCTGTGAGTTCAAAGCCAGCCCGGTCTACAGAGCGAGTTCCAGGACAGGCTCCAAAGCTGCACAGAGAAACCCTGTCTCAAAAAACAAAAACAACAACAAAAGAGAAATGTTTAAAACCTTGCTTTGGAATTATTTATTACCATCACCCAGCTGCATAAAAACCTAGAAAATATTGGGCCCTGCATATAGTCATGCATATAGTCATCGGGTGAAAATGAAGAACCATAGCTTCCCAAGTTAAAGCAGGAACTCTGTTGAATGCTTCGGTGGGTCTTGGACTTTCACTCTTTCTCACTGTCTTTAGTAGCAGTACTTAACAAATATATGGGGGGCTCGAGCTCTCAGTGTAGAAGGGGAAGTGAAGCCAGGCACATACTTCCTCCAAGTCTCCTGTGACATCAGTTACAGGACACCGTGGCCTTACTGAGGGATCTGCTCAGTTTTGTAGGTTGCCAGCATGCGTGTATGCATGCATGCACACATACACATGCATGCACATGTGCATACACAGACACATACACACAGACACACACACAAACACATACACACACACACACCCTACATGAGTTACGTTTTTCAGTTTTTTTTTTTTTTTTTTTTTTTTTTTTTGCCTGGTTACGATGGGAAATTGGCCGTTTTCCTTCTTGGCATCTGAGTGAATCACAAGGAAAGAATTACTTCTGCAAGTTGAGAGTGGGGTGGTGGTTTAGAAGATTCCCTGGGATCTGTGGATTTATGGAGGAGAATGGAGCTTGCTTACGTCCCCTTTATGTGAGCAGAGCCGGATGCCGTCTGAGTTCTGTTTGTCCCTCCCACGGGCACTTTCGCAGACTGTCCTGGCTATGCACGGGGTTGACTGAGTCAATCACCTTCTTTACTACTAATTTCACAGAAAGATCCAAAAGCCCAGGGGCTGTGTGCACTGTGTGCTTTTTCAGTTAGCATTTCATTATTGCAATATAGAAAATAAGGCAATAATGAAATACGCTGTGTTTTTAGTATTACATGTCACAGTACAACAAGGCACGTCTATGAAGCACTGCAGGCATTGCTGGTAGAGGTCTCATTCTGAAAGAGACTATAAACTGGAAGAAGGCCACACCCAGGAGGAATTAGAGCGTCTCGGAAAGAACGTATAGTGAGGCATTAACAGTCCATTGAGAATTCCAGCCAGAGAAACCTGGGAAGCAGCGGCTTAGCAGCACAAATAGGACTTTGTTAGCAAACGGGCTCCTGAGGCTGCCATAATCAATAGCTATGACATGGGTGCCTTGAACAACAGGGATGTGTTCTCTTACAGTTTTCACGCTGGAATTCAGAAGTCAAGGTGTGGCCGGGGCTGTCCATCTCCCTTTAGAATTGGATAATTGGTGGTCTCCGGTGTTCCTTGGCTTCACAGCTGCATCTATCACTCCAGTCTGTGGGTCTCGACCCTCCCATGGCCTCTTTCCCATGTGTCTTCTTACAGGCACAACAGCCATTGGATTCCTAGCCACCCTAATCTAGATGACTTAATTACAATGACCAACACTACTTTCACTTCACCATCAGGGACCCCACCTAGATAAAGTGTTTCTAGGGAACACTATTCAGACCAATGCAAGTGCGATCAGGTTTTCCGAAAACGGGCTGGCGTCTCATAGATTTGCTGTAGAAAACCATTGATCTGGTGAGAGGTTTCTGAGTGATTATGAAGACAGGAATAGTCACGCTCAAAATTAGCCCTATGGAGGCCACTCAAGGGAGAAGGGAAGACATAAGTGGGTACAGAAAATGGCCCACAAGGCAGTAGAAGCTTCTGGTATCTTACCACCAGAGGCACGGGGGCATGGTGGAGGGAGGGTTCTTAAGACCACTTGCTCTGATAACTATGTTCTTCATTGTTTCATGTAGCTGAAGATCAATCATGTGCCTCAGAAAGGCAGCAAGCCTTGTCTAGCCTCTACTTTGGAACCCCAGGCTACATCAGCCAGCAAGACCTGTTGTCATCTGCGGACAGGCAGGTCCCTGCAAGTGGTACCACATTGGCCGCATCCTGCCCACCTACAATCAAGGAACTCTTTGTTGACTCTGGGCTTCTCCACTCCATGGCTGTGGGGCAGTACCAACAGCTTTCTGCATCAGGAAGTCTACTTAGAGAAGCCGTCAGAGCAATTTTCCCCTCCCGAGAGCTGGCTGGACTTGCCCTTCAGTTCACCACCAACCCTAAACGACTGCAGCAAAACCTCTTTGGGGGGACATTTTTGGTGAATGCTGCCCAGTTTAATTTGTCAGGAGCCCTTGGTACAAGAGGCACATTTAACTTCAGTCAGTTTTTTCAGCAGCTTGGTCTCCCAGGCTTCCAAGTTGGAGACAGAGCAACTGATGTAGCCAAACTACTCCCTGTGGGATTGGACTCTAGTTCTAACCCAGACACTCTCCGTGTCTCTGACAAGACAGTTGCTATGAATAAACCAGTGGTGGGTACCTTTGGCTTCAAAGTCAACCTACAAGATAACCAAAATGCCTTAAAATTCCTTGCTTCTCTCCTGGAGCTTCCGGAATTCCTTCTCTTCTTGCAACATGCCGTTTCTGTGCCTGAAGATGTAGCGAGGGACTTAGGAGATGTGACGGAAATGGCGTTCAGTGCTCAGACTTGCGGATGGACACCTGGAAGGCTCTTTGTCCCATCCTGCACTGCCGGAGGAAGCTATAAGGATATCCAGTGCCATGCTGGAGAATGCTGGTGTGTGGATTCCCGAGGCAAAGAACTGGATGGCTCAAGAGTCAGAGGGGGACGCCCCAGATGCCCCACCAAGTGTGAGAAAGAACGAGCTCAGTTGCAAAGCCTGGCACGCAGTCAGCCAGCGGGCTCCAGCTTCTTTGTCCCTTCATGTACGCGTGAGGGGTATTTCCTGCCTGTCCAGTGCTTCAACTCAGAATGTTACTGTGTCGATGCTGAAGGTCAGGCTATTCCTGGTACTCAAAGTACAATCGGTGAACCCAAGCAGTGTAAGTCAGTTGGATATTTAATTAACAAATTCTCGAGTCTCTATTTAGACCAGAACCCAATACATTGTAAGAAACTAAGTTTGCTCATGACTGAAGAGTAAACTTCAGCCAGTAGACTAATTAGTTGCTTTAGCTAAGCATTATCCTTGGAGACCTAGACAGTATGAGGCATTCTAATGAGCTCCTAGAGATTTTTGCTTGTTATTTAGAAAGTGCACATACATGGGTTGGGAAGATGACTCAACCATAAAGTGCTTACTGCACAGGCATATGGGTCTGAGTTTGCATCCACTTAAATGCACATTTGTATCCCCAGTGCTGTGGGCAGGGGGGAGGTGGGAGTAAGTGGACCTGGGACTGGAGCTCACTGGCCAGCCAGTCTATCTAAATCAGAAAACTTCAGGTTCAGTGAGAGATCGTGACAACAGCCCCCGTCCTACAGTATTCACAAATGAGCTTAAACACATACACACATAAACACATAAAACCCATACGACAGGACATGCCATATACACATCTGTGGCTCCCGTCACATCAGTAGGTGGGCTAGCCAACAGGTTGCATGTCACTCATGAACTTAGGACAACTGCGGTTTCTGTGACTTGCCATTAAGCAGTCACCTTGATCCTTCTGGATTGTTCAATTTATTAAATAGCTACCCATATTATTCTTCTCCAGGTCCCAGTGTCTGCCAGTTACAAGCTGAACGAGCTTTCCTTGGAGCGGTGCAGGTCCTGCTCTCCAACTTCAGCATGCTGTCCTCCCCGTCCAGTGTTTATATCCCTCAGTGCAGTGCCAGTGGGCAGTGGAGGCGCGTGCAGTGTGACGGACCCCCTGAACAGATCTTTGAGTGGTACGAACGCTGGGACACACGGAACAGTGATGGTCAGGAAATGACCCCAGCCATGACGCTGATGAGGATCGTGAGCTCTACAGGAGCAGCTTCCAGAAACTTCAGTCTCTTTCTTCAAAGTCTTTATGAGGCTGGCCAGCAAAGCATCTTCCCAGCGCTGGCACAGTACCCTTCCCTTCAAGATGTCCCACAGTTAGTGCTGGAGGGAGTCCTGACTCAGCCCGGGGAGAACATTCTCCTGGATCCATACGTCTTTTGGCAGATCCTAAATGGCCAGCTCCACCGCTACCCAGGGCCCTACACAGACTTTAGCATGCCTTTGGCACACCTCAACCTCAGGAGCTGCTGGTGTGTGGATGAGATTGGTCAGGAACTGGATGGGACTCGGAATGAGCCAGGCAAGAGCCCAACATGTGAGTTAACTCATGTAGAGAACCAATTTGATATTTTCTTTGAAAAGACTTTCTTGTGGGAAAGCCTTTGTAGGAGTGGGTCACTTTTGGGAACAGAGGCAATACTTATATGTTCATTCACCCTCCAGTCTGTATATCCGTACACCCAAGCAACCACCTACCCACCTTCCGATAGCTGTCCATCTAGGTGGTCCAGATAGACCAATGTTCATAGGATGAGATTCTCTAGCAATTCTGAATCAACTGTTTAGTGAGGAACTTGCTCAAATTATATGATTTCTGCAGGCCTCAGTTTCTCATCTACATTAGGGTATCCAGGTTAATTGTCAATTCGGCACCACCTAGAATTATATAGGAAGAAAATCTCAATTGAGGAAATGCGTAGTTCATATTGGCCAATGGATAAGTCTTTGGGGTATTTTCTTGATTGTTAATTGATCTAGTAGGGCCTAGCCCACTATAGGCAATGCTATTCCTTAGGTAGATGGTACTAAACTATATTAAAAAGCTAGCTAAGCATAAGTTACTTGCCAGACACCAAGCAAAACTCTCCATGGCTCCTGTTTCACTTATTTGGCTGTGAAAGAAGTTCTTGGGTCAGAAGTAATGCTGCATGAAATACCAGGACTATCTTCATGTTCCCGTTGAGTTTCTGTTTCAACTTCCCTCAGTGATGGGCTATGGCCAGAATTGTGAGCCAAATAAATCCTTTCTTCCCTATATTGTCCTTTGGTGAGGACAGCATCTTCTTAGACTAGTGCCCAGATTCAATCAGATCCTGCAAATGTACTTAGTAGAAGCCCGGCATGGTGTGAGCAATGTATCCCTAATCTACTGCAGGTTCCTTTGTGAATGCTGAGTGAATGAGGCTGAGGAGACAAAGCAAAGGGAGCTGGGCTTGGTGACCAAATCTACCTGTGATTCTTTTCACTGCCCTAGGTCCTGGCCCCTGTGAGGAAACGAAACTTCGTGCCCTGAAGTTCATTAAGGAAACGGAAGAGATTGTCTCCGCCTCCAATGGTTCTTCATTTCCTCTTGGAGAGAGTTTTTTAGTAGCCAAGGGAATCCAGCTGACCAGTGAGGAGCTTGGCCTTCCTCCTCTCTACCCATCCCGAGAGGCTTTCTCTGAGAAGTTTCTACGTGGGGGTGAATACACCATTCGTTTGGCTGCTCAGTCCAGTGAGTGTTGGGTTGACGGTTCTCACTCCATTTCTTTGGGGGAAGCAAGAACTTGCATCTGACTCTCCTGGACTTGACTCAGGCTGCCAGGTTCCTGGAAAGGCAGAGTGGCTCTGTGACCCTAGGCAAAGATTTTCTTAAAGGATCCATGATCCTTCGGCAGAGCCCCTGTGGAACTTTCCATTGTGTACTTCAGATGGTACCTGCAGCCCTCATAAAACCATAGTTCTGTTGTTAAAAGGCTCTGTGTGCTCTCAAGCCTTGACCTATCTTAAAGTTGTCTTTCGTCTCCAAGGCTAATGGGAGGGAGAAAGGACATGACCCTCTTTACCAAGGACCCATTGCTAAGAGTAGGTGCCAAAGACCATGTCATCTCTGAATATAACAAAGGAACACGGTTCTCTGACCTAGCAACAGCCACACAGTGCTTAAATTTATCCCGTGACCAGGCATTTGAATGATAAGTACATGATTGGGTTATTGTGTTAATTCTGTTAATATTTCAGAACAAAGGTATAATATCACCTACGATTCTTAACACAATGAAGCTGAGTCCTAATTTAGTCGCTTGCCTGGGTTCGGCCATCTGGTACCTATGGAAGCTGGACCAGAAAGGCTAGCCCATACTGTTAGTGTCCTGTGCTCTGCCCAGCTGAACACAAAGCAGCTGGAGTCAGTGCTGAGACCTGGTCCAGCTGAGAGCCAGGGTCCTTCCTCTGCCTACAGCCTGCTCTGATGAGAGGCTCTGACCCCACTGAGTTTCCACTGACACCACATCACCAGAACCTGAGTTCCATCTCTCCTTGAGTCTTGTCCAAGTTCCTCTCCTTTCTCAGCAGGGTTCTGTCCCGCTGTCCTCCTTTGGACAACATTTTATGTAACAGCAGAGAAAATACCCGGCAACAAGCTGGAGTCTCCCTGTCTTCCTCTCATGACTCCTGATGCTGGCTTGGGAGAGGTGTCTTTGTTCTAACCCCGGAGAAGGATCTCACAGATCAGGCTGTTTGCTGCCTCCTCCCCTCTCCCCACCAGACAACTGTTCAAAGCACCCAGCCTTGCTCACCTTCCTCTACACCCATGGCCCACTCATCACTCACCTTGATGCTCTTTTTTCTCTGCCCAGAGTCCACCTTCCTCGCTTCCTCAGAAACCAGGGGGCGTCTGCTTTTCATAGGAGAGCAGTTATTTCAAATCCTGTGCCCGGATGGAGTCCGATGTGCTGTGGGGAGAAGTGGTTCTGGCAGCCCTGTAGCTCGGGCCACTTTGATCAGCACAGAAGGCAGAGGAGCCGCCTATACATAATGGGTCATTGTGTGGCAGGGTGGCATTTGTAGAAAGGGTAGAGGCCAGACAGGGAAAAAGGATGGGAGAGAAACACAGCTCTGTAAAGGGTGGCAGGAACCTAGGGTGAGGATGTGGGAGATCCAGGTCAGGTAACCATGAGCTCCAACCATTACATCCTTCTCTTTGCCCTGTTACCATGCATGTATACTTTGCAGTATTTACTTCAATCTCCCCCCTCTCCATCCCGTCCCTCTTTCTTTCCTTCATTTGTTCCATTTTTGCTAGTCTTATATATGCTAGGGCCTTATATGTGCTAGGCAATTAGTCTTCCACTGAGCCACACCCCCAGTTCTTTTCTAAAATAAAAAAAAAATAATAATTTTGAGACAGCATCTCACTAAGTTTCCCAGGTTAGCCTTGACCCTGTAGCTCTGGCTGGTCTCCAACTTGAGATCCTCTTGCCTCTGCTTCCCAGGTAGCTGGGATTGCATCATACCTAGATCAGTTGTCTCTTGGGTGTACATTCTGAGCCAGGTTCTGTTCTTTGTGTAAAAGAAGCATGGATCTCTGTACCAAGGATTCTAAATGTAAGCCCAGAAGAGGAACCCATACACAAATTCGATCAGTACATGTCTAAGGTGTTGCATGGCAGTGAGTGCTGAGCAGAGGAGCCATGCAGGGGAAGGAAAGCTGTGGTTGACATACATGAGGGATGTATGTCATACATGTGGTATGTCAACAACATGCGGTCAAACCCTTCCTTTCATGTCCTGTTGTGAGATCGTGGTTAAGTAGCTATCTGTCTACCTCAGTTTTGCCACTGGTCAGATGATACGCTAGTATCTCATAGGGCCACGGAAGGGGTACAGCTAATTCTTTCTAGGCATGTTCAACATGCATCTCTGTGAGCTACATGCGTCTCAGGATAACTAAACCTTAAGCTTACTCAGAGCACTATGGGACACATATGTGATTTTGTCTTTGTAACTCAACTGTATGGTTCTTGAGACTGAACTTTGTAGATGACAATGTCGTGGCCATGCCAAAACATTGACATACACCTGGTATACAACATACCTTTGGATGACCATGTGTTGTGGGATATTTGTACACTGTGTGAAGGTATATTTTATGATTGGTATAATGAAAAGTTGAGTGGCTAATACCTAGGCAGGAAGGATAGTTGGGATTTCAGGGCAGAGAGAAGTAGGAGGAGGATTCTAGGAGGGGGGCAGGGACATGGAGAGGAAACAGGAAGCACAAGTTGGAAGAGAGGTAACACCACATGATAGAATGTAGATTAATATAAATGTGTTAATTTAAGTTATAAGAGCTAGTTAGGAACAAGCCCTAAGCTATAGGCCAAGATTTCATAATTAATAGGAAGAGTCTCTGGATTTTTTTTGATTGTTGTTTGTTTTGTTTTGTTTTGTTTTGTGAGCTGGCAGCCCAAAGGAAAATCTTACTACACCCATGACTCTTCTCTAGAGTCAAGTGCATGCCATGGATACGAAGCCACCCACCAGCTTGACCACTCTCTATGAGGTTACCCCACAGACCTGTAGAGAGTCCTCCCAATGCAGTCTGGGGCTTATTTTCATAGGGGGATCTGCAGAGTGTCTACTGGCTGTCCAAAAATCTAAGTGAAATTTCTGGTTAAATGTTCCCCAGGTTGTAAGAAAGCTGTCTTATATGTGAGCAAGGGTTTGTTCAGGGGTGTGTGTGGTTTATCTCAGGACAGAGCCCACAAGGCAGCTGTCATATTTTGTGTTTTTCTTTCTGTGTCTCTAGCATTGAATTTCTATCAGCGTCTCCGTGCTTCCCAGGGGGAGTCCGATGGAGTTGCCAGTCTTCTGTGGTTTGGGCCCTATGTACCACAGTGTGATAGTCTTGGAGGCTGGGAGCCTGTGCAGTGCCATCCTGGGACCGGTAAGGAGACTTAGAGAGGACAAGTGAATATTTAGAGGAAAGAACCACACAGTAGGAGGCAAGTGGTCCAGATTATTGGCCCCTCTTTAGCAACTAGGACAAACCCTTAGCTTCTCCACTACCAGCTGTCTCCCAGGTATAAGGATAGCAGGAATCTCCAGTCAGTGTGGGGTTGAAATGCTCATTGGCTGGGAGTGTTAGATACTAAATCTTGTGACTGTGGACAATGTCAGGAGAGGAGACTAGGCCAGACAGGCTACCTTGCTGGTGTTGATATGAAGGCAAAGGAGAGAAATTACTCACTGGGCACTTGGGAGAGTTCCCAGCATATTTGCAGAACTTATGGGTGATGACTTTTTTCCAGGACAGTGCTGGTGTGTGGATGGACAGGGAGAGTTCATCCCAGCCTCACTGAATGCACGCTCCTCACAGATGCCCCAGTGTAAGTAAAGCCCATGAGATTCTTTAATCTGACCCCTAGAATGGCCTCTATGTTGCTGGAGCCAGTTTGGTCATACAACTGAGCGGAACTCCAGGGTCTAGCCCTGCAGAGCTGTCTCTGAGAATACCATAGACACATTTTTCTATGTCCCCAGGTCTAGGGCTCATGTTGACTTTGGATCATCCTTGTTGGTTCTCTCATTGGGGATGTACCAAGAAGAGCAAAGAATGGTGACAGGGTTTGACTTTGGTCCCTGGGCCTTCGCTCCTGGGCAGCTCCAACTACTGTGGTTATGTCACTGCCTCACATGTATTTCTGCAGCCCACAGAGGGTCACCTCTGAGGCATCAATAGCCCACTTGACCCCTCAAAGCCAACAACATACCCCACATGTGTCTCTGCCCCTGAACTTCAGCCTGCTTATCCTGAGATTCTAGCTTTGTGGAACGCACCTCTACTGGTCTGAAGTCTGGGGTTATCTGGTGTTACCCACCCACCCCTTAGCTCTATAGCCCTTTGTTCACAGCCTCTCTCTCTCACAGGCCCCACAAGCTGTGAGTTATCCCGAGCCAACGGGCTGCTTTCTGCATGGAAGCAGGCTGGCCCCCAAAGAAACCCAGGTCCAGGAGATCTGTTCACCCCCACCTGCCTACAGGTGAGTTTCTGTGGACTCAGGAAAAATACAAGCTAGGAAGGTTCGCTGACACTGACCTGCTCTGACTAAAAGTGCATTTTCTAGATTTTTAGTTCATTCTCATTAGTATAAAACTCACAGGGAGTCACGGGTGTCCTGATCGTTCTAGACCTGGCTGTGTGTCCTTGGATTGGTTGGTTGCCTTCTCTGTGTCCAGTTTTGCTTTGTTTTAATCATAAGCTTGGGACACATTCTTGTATTATCTAGTTCTTAGATTATCTTGAGACTACAAGACAAATTCTTCTCTAAAAGTCTTTAAAGACTGATTATATAGATATACATTATTATGTAAAATAACATACAGTATAGTATTTAATAATACATGACATATATTAAATATATATAATACATATAGTTGTTGTCATATGTTTTCTGAAGACACTTTGTTCAGGTCAGTATGCTTGGCCCTCAGGTTCCCAACCTTAGAGGAAGACATTATTCCTTGTCACTCCTAGGTTCTCTGTTGGTAGCTGTAACTCAGTTCATTGAAACACTAACATAAAAGCCTCCAGGGAAAGAATTTGTGTTCAGGATCTAACCACATACCTACCAAGCAGTTCGCACCCCTGTGCTTGTCTCCTGTCCCTATACAAGGGCAGGTGACCTCACCACCTGCTCCACTTAGTTCCCAGGAGCTTTGTGAAAATCAGATGAAATCGGGAATATAAGACTTTCAGGGGTCATGTAATGTAGAGCAATGTCATGGTTATTGTGGCATTCCGTGGACATGGTCTACTTAGTAATTGATTTGTAGGGAAAATTGCCAATGTGATTTAGTCTTTTAGTTTGGCTAACAAATAACCTTCCCTGGAGATAAGTCTGCCCAATGTCCCCAGCATAGCTGTTCTCCTGAGAAACGAAATATAGGGACTGCAGTTTCTGAAAGCAGGAAGTGTGATTCTGGCATGTGACCGGATGATCACATGACTGTGTGGGCTCTTGCCATTCATGATGCCCATAAGCAACAACCAAGACCCTTACTTCCCAACTGATATCTGCATTTCCAGTTTCTCTTCACCTCCCAGGACTGGTAGCTAACTGGCAGCTGAACTCAGTTTGGATTTCAGTAAGTCGAGACCAGTATTCACAATTTTAACGTTCTCCCATAACCTTCCCTCAGAATTTTGCTTGAGTTTGAATCTTACCTGGCGGTTGACCAGATGGCTGGCCAGAGGCATGCCAGCTGATCTCCTTTCTTGGTTCTAGAATGATGGGGGCAGCAGAGTCCCCACCTTTCTGAGTGCTTGTGGATTCCGTGACTCACCTGAAAGGAAGGTGTTTGCGAGCCTCCTGCAGTTGCTGGGTAAATGGGGGTGACAATTGTCTGCAGAGTGGCCACACCAATGAGTGACAGTCAATAAATGCAGCCCTCAGCACACGTAAGGCTGGATGCTTTCTTGCCAGTTTATGTCTCTGTGCTCAGGGCTTTGCACTGCAGAACTGGGATGGGGGCTTTTCTGCTGAAGGAGTTCCTGGAATGAAAGGCTCTGGGAGCAGCCCCAGGAGATGACTTGGTCTTTAAAGTTCTTGTCTTGCACACATGAAGACCTGAATCCCTAGAACCCATGTAGCCAAAACTGAACATCAACATCATAGTGTCTTACCTATAATCCCAGTATTGAGGAGACAGAGATAGACAGATGTCTGGGGTTCCTGGATAGCTAGCTTAGCCTATATGCAGAATTCCAGACCAATGAGAAACCCTCCCAAAATAATGCTAGGTGCCTGGCACCTGAGGAGCAACAGCTGAGGTTGGCCTTTGACCTCCATGCACACAAAATTCATGCATGCATGCATATCTACAAACACACACACACACACACACACACACACACAGAGAGAGAGAGAGAGAGAGAGAGAGAGAGAGAGAGAGAGAGAGAGA